ATATGTTTATGTATGTACATATGTATATGTTTATGTATGTACATATGAATGCATAATACACGAAAAATTTTCGTCATATCAGATCTGTACACTTCGTTCGATTGTACAAAATGGGTATCGAATTAAAGGGCTAGGGCCGTGGATGAGCAATAACTTCTTATTTTTCAAAAAGAGTTGCCACCTGACAAAAAAAAATTAATTCAATTTATTTTCAAGTTACACTGCGTGCCAAATGAACTTTTCTCACAAAGTTTAAACTGCTGGCAATTGTAAATAAGGATTCAAATTTAATAACTAATTAATATAACTAAAGTAAAATCTTTGGCAAATTAACAATAAAATACTTTTTTCGCAAAATCTATAAAGGACCCTTTTATTTCTCAAAAAAACCGGGGTAGCAGTTATTCGTCGCCACGCTGTATTCATCAAGCGATAGAGCAATGCAAGTTAATTCAATTTTCGTCGATACTCGATTTCCAGAACGTTAACTGATTTTGAAGCTCGATCCATACAATTATCAGTGATATATTTACATACATACATACATACTTGCCTATCTATCTATGTATGCCTCATACTCTATAACCGTCCTAATAAAAATGATCTTGAAATGCACAGATGCTTGCCAATAGGAAGAAGGAAGTCGGAACAAACAAAAAAATATTTGCTTGTGTTAGTAGGTAAATGCATGCATACTCATGCATATAAAATCTGAACATATTTAAAATGGTATGAATATACATACATTTACATACGTAAATATCTGCTTTTCTTAAACAAAGAAAAGGAAAAAACGGACTAAAGCAATACTTCTATAATACAGTCAATATCAGGGACCCTAACTGTTACGCTTTTTTCAAAAGTCAATAATTCTATACATATAATAAAATTGGAACAGGCCGAAATCTGTTCATTATAGATATACACGCAGGTTCTGCAATTCACTTTCGAGTGAATTTCAATCTAATTCGCTTTGAAGTCAAATTGGCAGGGGTTGAAAATGACACGGAAGTGAATTGAACAACCTGCCTGCTTAAAGAAAAATTAACATGGGGGCGGGGGGAGGTCCTTATTGGAGCAACAGAAGCCTAATCAACAATTTATAGAATATTTGTCTGTCTGTCTGTCGGTATGTTTGTACGTGCATAACTAGAAAATTACTGCATGGAATTTACTGCAGTTTTCACCGATGTATTGCTAGAGTTCTAACTTAAAACATTAGAAAAAAATTAGCGTTGCAACATGTTTAAAAATTACTGTTTAAGTAAATAGATAAGATAAGGCAAATATTGCAATAAGGCTGTCAAAAGGAAGACGTTTATGCTATGTTCACGTTAAAATATTAACTCGAGTTTAACGTTTTCAGTTTCTGAACAATTGTCGAGTGTTCTCATTGGGGTGTTAAAGAAACTCAGAGTTTAATTTGACATTTGTTTGATAACTTTTTCTTATTCGCATTTAGCCTGTTCCCGTACCCCAGGGTTTAGACAGAAATAGTGGGAAGTAGCCGTGATGTAGGATACCAACCGTTTAGCCAAAAATAACTAAAAAATGTGACTCGATAGAACTTTTCATGCTGATTTCAACCATACTAATATTATTTGGCACAAATAAAAACCAAAGCCAATAAAAGAGGTTAAAGTTAAACTTTTTCATTTTTTA